ATTCTGAAAAGAAGAAAGATTTGTTTTCTTTTCAATGTTTGCCTAAAATGAACCATATCATAGCCTTCAATATCTCTTTGAAAAATAACTTTGTAACTTTTAAACAAGTATTAAAATGAGTTCAATGTAGCTGTAGGAGTATTAAATAAAAAAAATAAAGTTGATTATCTTCATTCAGTTGTTCCATTTCTATAGGTAACATAAAAGCTCTTAATTCCAAAGATAATACAAGCTAAGCAGTGTATTCAGTAGGTTGCATTAGTGGCATAAGGTGTTGTAAGTATACAACAATGTGACAATAAAACAATGCATTTACTTTGATACTCAAGTACTTTTAAAAGCATGTACTTTCGTACTTTTACTTAAGTAAAAACCTGTCTTTACAACTTTCACTTGTAGTGGAGTAGTATTTGACCAGTAGTATCTGTACTATCACTCAAGTAATGCAGCTGTGTACTTTGTCCGCCTCTGCTTGTTTCAGAACATACAGAAAAAAAAGTAACGTTTCCATAATGTTTGCAAAATGATGAAGTGCAATGTACCCTTAACATTTGTATAACCAATATTTCTTTTTAAAACATTTAAAAAAACTGGACATCTTGAAAATTCAGAAATAACATTTTCATAACTTAATGGGAACATTAGCAAAACGTTCTTTGAACATATTTTTGTCAGCTGGGTACCCTCATGTTGCCAAAAAAACATGCATTCTGACAAAATAAACATTTCCAAGCATATAACATGAAATACAAATATTTAGACTATATAAGATGTTCTACCAGTACCTGATTATTAATTTATTTTTGGAGGTGCTTAACATTTTTATTTGGTAGACATTAAAAAAATTATAATAATAATAAAACAGAGATACCATATCATCTAAAACCTTTGGTTTCAAAGCTCTAGAATCTCGCACATAACAGCGCCCAACAAACCACACTGACCCTGGAGGAAGAAATTCCTTACATGTAGCGGGATGATGAATGGCTGTGAGGCCGGAACGCTTCCTCTGGAGGGGATAGAGATGCCAGAATAATGGAAGACCACGGCCAGAGCTTCTCCCTCAGGCTAATGGGCCAGAAAGCCACAGTCTAATTTTTAACAGACCTTTTGTTGCCTTGCTTCGGGCTCCTTGAGGAAACAAATAATGACTCCTCCGCTCACCCTAACGATCCATAATCAACAGATCCGTAACATTCCTTAACGTGTAATGCTGATTACTGTGAACAGCTTGTGACTGATTCATAACGTTGAAACTGTGGCGTTTAGAGTGCTGGAAGGCATGATGTGCATGAAAAAAGGATGAAAATCTTTCACGTTAAAGAAGATTCACGGCTTATTCACATTTATGGGAAGCTACACCGCGAGGAGCTTGATGCAAAACTGATGTGAAGTTTAGTTTGAATAAATCTGCAAGCAGACCACACACTCATAAACCCATACAGATAGTGAATCCTCCACCATTTGGAAGGTGTGGGGTCATCTTCATGACCCTCATTCAACATGCACTTCTGTGCAGAACTTCAAAAAAGGTATAGGGGTGAAATATCATAGCGCCTGCGGCAGAAACCAGCCCAACATCCTGCATAAATTCCCTTTGATGTGCAACTTTGATCGGAACCAGATACTAATACTGCAGCCGACCCGCTCTCTGTTAGCTGCTGATTATGTAATAAATGTAACAAACTGCCACTGAGATGAACAGGAACACTAACGGAAGGATTCTGCTTGTATTACTGACTTACGCTGCCTTCAAGCTTCCCAGCTAACAGGGAACGTTCTCACAACTTTCATGAACATTTTTTAAAAGTTACATAAATGTTAGGACAAAAGGTTTTTAATGTTTATAGAACATTCTTAATATGTGATACATTCTGATAAATATTCTGATAGCCTTCATTCTCATAACTTTGAAAGAAAATGTTCTGAGATCAACATTCTCAAAACTCCCTTATGATATTGTTTGTACTTGAGGAAAATTCTCAAAATGTTAAGAAAACGTTCTTCAAAAATTATCAAAGGGTCCTTTTGTTGTTATTTGTGCTTAATGAACGTTTCAAGAAATGTTTTTGTAACCTTTAAATAACATAATCACAACAATAAAACTGGACATTTTAACGTTCCTAGTGTTACGGGGCTGACGAGACGTGAGACGTGCGGATCCATGTGCAAGCTTTATTTAAAGCAGAGAGGTCAGAAACACAGGCTGGGATAGACTAGAGGGATAAATCCAGGAAAACAGGCAAAGATCAGAAACCGAGAAAACAGACAAGGCAAGGCAAGGAAGCTAACGAGGGCTCTGTAGAGTAGCTATCGCTGCTGGCGATAAGCGCATACAATACTCGGCAGCTAGAAAGGAGTGAGAATGAGTGTTAAATAGTGAGTGAGTGATATGAAACAACTGTGTGCAATCAGTTCTGTGTGCAATCAGTGTAATGAATGATGGGATATGTAGTCGTACATATGTATAGTGAGTGAGTGATATGAAACAGCTGTGTGCAATCAGTGCTGTGTGCAATCGGTGTAATGAATGATGGGATATGGGGTGATATGCAACAGTGTGTAGTGCGAGAGTCAATGAAAATGGAAAGGGTGACCTCTGATGGCTAGCAGACGGAAGTTCATGGACCGGATACGTAACACCTAGAATGTTACAAATTAAATTTTAAATAACATTATATTTTAGGTGAAACTAAAGTTAATAAGATGTAAGAAACGTTGTAGGAACCTTTAAATAATGTTCTAATCATGACAAGAAAACTGGACATTTTAACGTTCTTAGAATATTAATATTTAAAAATAAACATTCAAATAATGTTATATTTTGGGTGAAAATAAAGTTATGTTGTAAGAATAGTTTTTTGTAACTTTTAACATTCCAATCACGACAAGAAAACTGCACATTTCAATGTTTTAGAATCATTTCAAAACAGTGTTCCCACAACGTTTTTATATCCTACATTTGTTACCTGTGTGTGCACCTGAAACTCCAGCTTCTGATTCGATATGCCATGCATTCAAGTCTGAATTATAATACACAATTAGTCTAAACAAAATGGACGACTTGACAAAAACATTGTTCTACTTTTGAAACACACCAAAAGTTAACAATGAAAACCATTTCTATTGTTTATGTATGGTAATAAATAAAATAGAAATCAAATGACAGTGATGGTCTTGTCATTGCCATGTTGCACATTAACATACTCCTTCCATTGTCACATCTCAGCAACTCTTGAGTATCCCGCTTGTACTGTACTGTAAATACAACTTTGCTTGGTCATTCATGTGGATGGAACTCGTATATATGATATTTCAGACTCCACTTGAAGTCCACATGAGTATTCATTAAAACAGAGGCTCCTCCCAGACACTGATGGTGCAAACGGCCCTTCACAGCAAGTCAGGAACATGTCAAGTTATTTCCTTTGACTTAATCCTGCTTACAAGACTTCCATCTATTCTCTTTTAATGAATGCACCCAAATATTATAGCCTCAGTGTCTGTGATTAT